ATTAAAATCTCTCACATTCTCAATTGAATACACCCCCCTTAGTATATTAATATAAGTTTTCTATCAAAATAATGAAATCAGAAAATATTCAGATCCAGTATACTAACCATCTCTATAATATAATGATTTGAGACACATTAGATTCTATTTTGGAGAGATTTTTTTTCCTTCTCTGTCTTCGAGAATATATATGATATAAAATAATGTTTTTTTTGGATAAATAAATGATGAAGACTTTAAGATATAATTTTAAGATTATGAAAATGTGAACACGGAAAATTCCTGAAACGAAAGAGACAAGAACGAACGTGCACAAACAAATATTTGTATTTGATGATTTTGGGTTACAATCTCTCTCTAATTTGATCATCTGATTCGATCTCCGTAAGGTGTTGATTTGTGGATGTTTCGTTGATCCAAGGGGGCGTCGAGGCTTGATCTTGGATGAACAGTTGGAAGTTTCTTCAAAGGGCCGTGGGCTTGATCTTTGAAGGTGGATTTGAGCGGATATTCAAGGGCTTTTGGGCTTGATCTTGAAGAACAGTGATGAACGGATCTTCAAGGGGTTTTGGGCTTGATCTTGAAGGACGGTTGGATGTGTGGATTTGTCGACGTTTGTTGACCCAAAGGGCCGTTGGGGCTTGATCTTGGAAGAACGATGAACGAAGAACACTTTCTTCAAGGGCCGTCGGGGCTTGATCTTGAAGGTGGATGATTGTTGATCCAAAGGGCCGTTGGGGCTTGATCTTGGATGAACGGATGATGAACGATGGTGCTTTCTTCAAGGGCCGTCGGGGCTTGATCTTGAAAGAGCGATGGACGAAGAACGAAGAACGAAGAGAGCTTTCTTAATTCTTCGGGAACCTGGATGCTTGAGAGCTTCGGAGTTTCAGAGCTTCAGAGCTTCAAGGTGTAATATGAATTCGTTCCCTCAAATGAATGAAATAGGCTTGTATTTATAGAATTTTCCAAGGCCTAATTTTGAATATAATATCCCATATGAAATAAGTCGTTTCTGCCAGGTGTTCACACGTGTCCTATTTGATGACTTTTCCGACTCATTTCAATTTTCGTTGAGTCGCATGCTACGTGTAAAATTTATGTAATACATGAGCGTTGACACTTTGATTTATTGGTCAACATTTATTTACCAAAATTTCGATGTCTACAAATGCCCCCACTTCAAGGCACGTCGTATACATGTGCTTGTCACGTGTAGGAGATGTGTTTTGAAGTCCCTTACTGTAGATGTCGATCCAAGGGCCGTCGAGGCTTGATCTTGAATTGGGCTGGAGATTTCTTCAAGGGCCGTTGAGGCTTGATCTTGAATTTGGCTGGAAACTTCTTCAAGGGCCGTTGAGGCTTGATCTTGAATTGGGCTTGAGATTTCTTCAAGGGCTTTTGAGGCTTGTTCTTGAACTTTTGTTTGAAATTTCTTCAAGGGCCGTCGAGGCTTGATCTTGAAGGTTGAAATTGGGCCACAAAGAGCTTCATGTGGTAGATGATCTTTGGCTTTGGTAGTGGATGAATCGGCACGTATTTTGTTGCGCTTGTTGACTTTCCACAGCTTTGATCTTGAACTGGGTTGGAGGATTTTCTGGATTTCTCCAATTGTTGATTTTCCACAGCTTATTCTTGAACTAGGTTTTGATTTAAGGGTGGTAGACACTTAATCTTGAATCGGACTTGTGATTTCCTCAAGAGCCGTCGAGGCTTGATCTTGAATTTGGCTGGAAACTTCTTCAAGGGTCGTTGATGCTTGATTCTTGAAGGTTGACTCGAACACATGGCAAGCAGGCATGAGGTAAAGGTGACAACCTGTTTCTTTGTTCAATCTTTCTAATTCACACCTGAGCAGTTTGGTCAACGATGTGATCTTCAAGATTGATGGGCTTTTCTTCCAGTTGGTGACTTGATCTTTAAGGATTTGATTCAAGGGTGGTCAATCGGCACGTGCAGCCCACAACGCCTAGTAAGTCGACCCAAGAATTTGAGGGTCAAAACGAGTTCACCGTCCTCAGGCAAATGCGGCATCTTCTCGAGTTCTTCATCTCAGACTCTTTCTGCTGAGTTAACTGTGCATGCTGCATTCTTCTCTGCTTGTTTTTTCAGGCAGATGTGGCAGCTTATCGAGTTCTTCAGCTCGGACTCCTTCTACTGAGTTGACTGTGCAGACCGCATTCTTCTCTGCTTGTTCCTTCTGCACGTTGTCTCCACATGCTGCAAGGTATCATTTTCACTTGCCTTATCTATTCTTCAGGCAGATGTGGTAGCTTCTTTGGAAGTACAGCAGCAGTGGGAGACGAGTACTCGAGAGCATTGCTAGGTAGGCAATCAGGGAAGGGTTCCAAGCAGTCGGTTCCTTACCCGAGTTTGAGTGGAAGTTCCGGCATATTGTTTTCTTTATCTTTGTCTTTGTAGGTAAGAACAAAGACAAAGGAAAGGACAGGGAGAACGCATGATATGAGATACTCTTGCTTTCTACCCTGGTGATATGAGATACTTTTGCTTTGGAGTCATTGGCTTGCAGAGGTACCCCAAGGAATAAGGAACATTGAATGACTCGAGAGGCTTCGTTGGGAAAGCATTTTTGGAGATGAAGAAAGGCTCTGTATATCTGCCTTGCTATGGAATGTGAAGGTGGACAGTTATAGGAAGTTCTTTGATACCTGTAGAGGTACTATTCTTTCACTCGTGTCGGCAACTAACGCGTGATTGAACAGTAAAGTTTCACGTGCTTTCTCCTTCACCGAAAATCTTCGACAAATTGCCCATGATTTGCGCAAAGTTGAGTGTGCATATGACAGGTGATGACACGGCTGAAAAAGACTGGCGCCTCTTCGATATCTGGGATCGGCGCTTCGACAAATTACCCGTGATTTCCGCAAAGCTGAGTTTGCGTGTGATGGGTGCCGACGCGTCTGGAAAAGCAAGATGCTTCTCCGATTTCCGAGCTTGCCTCTTCGATTTTTGAATGGCCTCTTCGAATTCTGAGCTCGCCTCTTCGATCTCTGAAATCCCGTCGAGTGCTGATTTTTTATAGAGGCATGCAGTTCGTTTCAAAGCACACTTGAAGTTTCACTTGTGAAAACTCCCTTCTTGCACTTCTAAGATCTTGATTTGTCCGATTTCTTCTTCCTTCAACACTTTGTAAATGTCTGGACCCTCCGACCGTCGTTTTGACTTGAATCTTGGTGAAGAGGCAGTCTCGCCTTCTCCAGACAACATATGGCGCCCATCCTTCATATCCCCTACTGGTCCTCTTACCGTTGGGGATTCGGTGGTGAAGAATGATATAACCGCTGCGGTGGTGGCCCGAACCTTGTCACTCCCAGAGATAACAGACTACTTTCCAAACGGTCTGATGAGTTGGCTGTTAAGGATTCTCTGGCTCTCAGTGTGCAATGTGCAGGTTCTGTGTCTAATATGGCCCAACGCCTATTTGCTCGAACCCGTCAAGTTGAATCATTGGCGGCGGAAATGATGAGTCTCAAACAGGAGATTAGAGGGCTCAAGCAGGAGAATAAACAGTTGCATAAGCTCGCACATAGCTATGCGACAAACATGAAGAGGAAGATTGACCAGATGCAAGAATCTGATGGTCAGATTTTACTTGATCATCAGAGGTTTGTGGGTTTGTTCCAGCAGCATTTGCCTTCGTCTTCTGGGGCTGTACCGCGTAATGAAGCTCTAAATGATCAACCTTTGGCTTTTCTTCTTCCTGGAGTTCCGCCGAGTGGTGAGGCTTCAAACAGTCAATCTCCAGCGCCTCTCATTTCTAGCGCTCTGCCGAGTGGTGAGGCGGCACCTGATCGTCCTTGAAGATCCCCTATTGTAAATTTGATTTGATTTGATTTTTTTTTTGTATGTACAATGCAAATTTATGTAAAAATTTCCAGAAATAAAATGGACTTTTATTTCTCTTAATACATTTGTTTTTTTTTTTTTTTTTCACATGGTGCCAGATGTACCATAACTCTTTATATATATATATATATATATATATATATATAGTTTCCTTTTCACGTGGTGCCAGATGCACCATCACTCTTTAAATATATTATTATTTTATTATATATATATATATATATATATATATATTGCCTTTAATTATGGTGACAGCTGCACCCCTCCCTTTTTTTTCATATGGTGCCAGACGCACCATGTTCCTTCATCATCTTTTTATTATTTTATTATATTTTATTTTTTTTCTTTAATCATGGTGCTGTGTTCCACCAAAAATTTTTTTGCATAAATTTGGATGACGGGTTGAGGAATTTGCAGGAAAGGACGGAGACGGACGGAGAGCTGCAGTCGAGGCTTCATGATCGGCTAGTCATTTGACGGCGATTATTGAAGTTTTTCGCCGTTGCTGTTTGCCACTGCCACTACACAACCATTGCACCGCCACTACATTCTTGTTGCCTTGCACCGCCGCCATTGCACAGCCACTGCATTTTTTTTTTTTTTTGCAGAGCAAAAGACGAAGCAGCGGAGTTTGAAGCCCGAGGACGCAAGAGACGGAGGAGCTTGAAGCTGCTCGTTGGGGCAGAAGCCGAACTGCTGCTGCTGTTGTCCTTGTTGCTTGAAGACGGTGAGGACCTGGGAGAGCCGGAGTTGAGCTTGGAGGGATGCGCAAAGCAGTGTAGGTGTTGTTTGTCGTCGAGGTGGTAGACTTCCATGATGGCAGAGTTTTGTGGAAGTTTGTTTACTTGAGGTTTCGCTGGAATAATGTTTCAGGAGGTGGAGCGGAGTGGAGGACTGTAAAAGCCTCCATTGAGGGCAAGGACAGCGATGAAGGTCCTGGTGCTGGAAGAAGTTGCTGCTGTCGCTGTTTGTGAAGAGAGATATTAGAGAGGAAACGCACGTGACCAGGGAGGAAGATGACTTGCTTGCTGCCTGCAGCAGATCCCAGATGGACAGCGGCGACTGAGTGTTTGGGCTTCCGTGGCTCGAGCGGAGGATGCAGAGCTGGTGGCGACCGAGACTAATGACTCGTGATGCTGGCCCAGGAGCTCTTGGACGTCGGCTTCCCTATGTTGGAGAGGATGATCCAATATGTTGTTGTGCCATGCAGAGGAAAAGATGACGAGATGGCGCTGTACCATGCGACGCCGATCCAGCAGATCCCGCCTTCTCATCACCATCACCACAGTATGGTGCTCGAGAGCACTATGGACTCCTCTAACACTATAAATTTCTCGTATTCGGCTGCGACGTCGTTTATGTCGTCGTTGATCGGCGACTCCGATAGCAAGCAACCAATGTCGTCTTCGGCTTTTCAAATTACCAATTTTTCCCAGGTTTCCTCAGCCGGAAAGCCGCCGCTTTCCTCCACCTCGTTGAAGCGGAAGTGCAGCTCCGAGAACTTGGGCTCTGGGAAGTACGGTGCTGGATCCTCCGGGCGCTGCCATTGCTCCAAGAAGAGAAAGCTGAGACAGAAGAGGGTTGTAAGAGTTCCAGCTATAAGCTTGAAGATGGCGGATGAGGCTGCTGAACACGCAGTGGCTTGTAGAACGACGGGTTGCTGTATTTCCATGCTACATTGCTCCTGCTGCAGACGTGATATGCTGCAAAGACAACGCTCACCATCGGATACGTTGCTCGCTGCACGGAATGATCTTCGTTGTGATGGTGGAGGAGCAGCAGGCATGCTTAGATGGTGTTCTCCAGCGTCGTCGGAAAGAAGAGTTCTGGCAATGGCATGGCAGAGCTGAAGCTGCTGTTCGTTGACCAGAGGATGCGAAGTTTATGCCATTTGAGGCATATCTAGCATTTGGGTGGGAGAAGGCCTCGAGAAGCTCTGGGACACATCAAACATTTGCCTCTACTGGTCCTGGAGTTGGACTAGTTGACCAGGCGGTTGAGACTGTTATCTTCGTTCAAGATCGCACTCAAGTCACGCTGCCCTGCAAGAGTCTGGAGACGACGGAGCTGCTGAATTAGGAAGTTCATGCATGTATCAAAATCAGGGGCAGGCAACCGAGACATGTTTGATGTCGTAAACTTATCCTTGGTCACGAGCACTTTTTATTGAGACTGGGGGCTCTTCCACTCTCTCTCTGGATATTAGGTCACGGTTTAAGAATAAAACAATGACAGTTATATCATCGTGAAAATGACGTCGGACCTTCTTGTCAATTTTCTGAAGATCTGAATATCGCATCTCTCTTTTTCTTGCAGCTTCTTGGAGAGCCGTCTTAACAAGCCGCTTGGCGCTTCCCGCATGTGGATGATTGTGGACAATTTCAACAGCTTGTTCATTACTCAAGTGTTCCCATAGACCATCAGAAGCAAATATAAGAAAAGAATCATTTGGATGGAGAGGATGAGAAAAAATGGTTGGTTCGGCAGACAAGGTAGGCATGGTCATTGGTTCGGGAAGTCTGAATTTTGCACTAACCGGCTCCTTGTTAAACCTTGCATGTTTCATATATGCGTCACCTATAGATTTAGATACCTGGATAATGCCTTTTACTCTCCAAACTCCATGCTTTAAAACGACAATTTGAGGATCATGTGGGTGCAAATCTTTCAGTTCATGCCTAACCTCCTCGAGATTTGCATTGTGTTCAGTGGATAACTAGATCGCAGCAACTTCCCCAGTGTTGCCCACTTTCTTTCCCAACACACAACGGGAATCTCCCAGGTTTGCCACAAATAGGGTCCCCAGAGATATAACTCTAACCAGACAGCATGACCCAACAGTTGCTACTTGGGGTCTAGTACCCCACAGCTTCGAAACAAGGGCGGTAAACCCTTCATCCGTTCGGAGAAAAGCATTTTGAATGGTCTCCGTTGTCACAACACCTTTGGACTCCGCTGATATTGCTTGGAAATGTTTGAATAAATTGTCGCAAACGTATCGAGCGGTCTCTGGTCCGCCGTGTCCGTCGTATACGCCGACGAAGGTCCCAAAGGGTCCCGACTCGATCTGGCTCTGATCCTCGAGCACCTGATTGGCCTGGACCACCGCCATAGAGAAATCGCCCCACGCGTACTTTCCAAAATCTCGGAACCAAAGCAAGTTATCTTTGCCATCTCGCCCTCCTCCGCCGTCTTCGTTATTCGCAGCGCCGACGATTCCAACAGAGCTGAGTCCCTCACCGTCGCCGCGCCCAAATGGACTCCAGCAAAGAGAGAGCAGATTCATCAATGCCTGAAGCATCCCACATCTCTCAAAAACCCTAACCCCAAAACCCAAAGACCCTTAAGGACTCCGAATTTGGGAGAAGAGGCTGGGAGAAGAAGCCTAGGAGGAAGAGTAAGAGTTCTGCCTGGAGATAGCTATGGGGTTTGTGAAGGGGGAAAGAGAAGAAGGAGTGGAAGGAGTGAAGTAGGAGGCGAGTGATTGGAAGGATGAAGATTTGGATTGGAGCTTTGAGAGCCGGGCCTGAGCTTGTTGGGCTCACGGTTTGGGTCTGAGGAGACGGGCCTGATTTTGTGGCTGGGCTCAGACATGTATATATATATATATATTTTTTTTTAGATAACATATGTTTTTTTTTTTTCTTTCAAAGAAACTGTAATTTAATTTTGTACAAAGAAAACTGCCAAGTAATTTTGTAATAAAATTGACCTTCACCAATGAGACTTTAATCAAATCCCTTTTTTTTTTTTTTTTGATGTGATGTGACTGAACTCGAAAAATTGAACATTCGAGCTGCCTACGTACCCCTCCAAAGAAGAGATCAAGTCGTAACGTAGTTCAAATACATACATATTTTTGGTATTTTCTTTTTGTGTCGTTTGCAGTTTCAACTCGTGCAGGCAAGGAGCGTTGGTGTCGTTTGCAGTTTCAACTCGTGCAGACAAGGAGTGTTGGTGTCGTTTGCAGTTTCAACTCGTGCAGACAAGGAGCATTTGGTGCCGTGTTGCAGTTTCAGCTCGTGCAGGCAAGGAGCGTTGGTGTTGCCTTTTATGCTCGTGCAGACCAGGAGCTTAGTGCCATGCAGTTTAGGCTCATGCGGGCGAGGAGCCTTGTGTCTTGCAGTTTAGGCTCTTGCAGACAAGGAGCTTGTTTCATGCAGTTTAGGCTCGTGCGAACAAGGAGCATTTGGTGCCGTGTTGCAGTTTCAGCTCGTGCAGGCGAGGAGTCTCGTGTCCTACAGTTTAGGCTCGTGCGGACAAGGAGCTTTTGGTTCGTGCAGTTTAGGCTCGTGCGAACAAGGAGCATTGTGTCTTGCAATTTAGGCTCTTACAGACAAGGAGCTTTGGTGAATTTGTCAAGCAATTTTGGAGAGGCGTTCCTCATAATCTTCATAGCAAGGAGCCTTGACTGAGTGATTGAAGAAGTCTTCAGGAAAGAAATCACGCATTGTGATAGGGATGGACGATCTATGTGTCGAAATTTCATCATCTTCAACACGTTCATGTTGCTTTGAAGGTTGACAAGAGCTGCTTTGCCCCCTTTCCAATTGGCGGACATGTGGAGGAGACGTATGCTTCTTGTGCAATTTCTTAGGAGTGACTTGAGTCCATCCTTCAATTTTGCTTGTCTTGGAGGATGTCCCAAGCGGTTGAGGTGAAAACTTTGAGTCGGAAGAGCCAAAAGTGGAGGTGGTATAGTTTGACTCCACCATATCGTCAAGATCTAGCTCGATGATTCCTTTCTGAGCCAGCTTCATGATGAGATCTTTCAGCACGAAACATTTTTCTGTCGGATGACTGATGAAGCGGTGGAATTTACAGTATCTTGGACTATCGGTACGATTCATCTCTTCCGGCCGTCTGCATTCAGGCAAACTGATCACCTTCTTGTCCAACAGGTCATCTAACATGGCAACCACATCAGAGTCGGGGAATGGATAAGTCTTCTCCTCAAGCTCCTTCAAAGTGCGTCTACGCATCTCTTGATCACGAAAAGCTTCGGTTTGAATCGCCTTGCCTCGTGTGGATATTTTGACGGGAGATGTGTTGACCGTCATCGCTTCCTTGGTGGGTTTCCATGCAACCTTTTCCACCTTTGTCCCAAGAACTTTGTCGTTCTTGTAGTCGGCGATCGGTTCTTTCTTCCCATGATGGGCGATGCTCAACTCCATGTCATGGGCGCGAGTGGCCAATTCCTCGAAGGTCCGCGGTTTAATGCCTTGAAGGATGTATTGCAAACCCCATTGCATGCCTTGGATGCACATCTCGATTGAAGAGGTTTCCGAGAGCCTGTCTTTACAGTCGAGGCTTAGAGTGCGCCATCTGTTGATGTAGTCAATGACTGGCTCGTCCTTCCACTGCTTTGTGCTCGTTAGCTCTAGCATGCTCACAGTGCGGCGGGTACTATAGAAGCGATTGAGGAATTCTCGTTCTAATTGCTCCCAACTGTTGATGGACTCAGGCTCCAGATCCGTGTACCACTCAAAGGCGTTTCCTTTCAGCGAGCGCACAAACTGCTTGGCGAGGTAATCCCCTTCGGTTCCTGCGTTGTTACAGGTTTCAACGAAGTGGGCAACGTGCTGTTTCGGGTTTCCCTTTCCATCAAATTGCATGAACTTTGGTGGTTGATAACCCCTCGGCATCCTTAAGGCGTCGATCTTCTTTGAATACGGCTTTGAGTACAACCCGGAGGTATTTGAGCTCCCTTCGTACTGTGCCTTGATGGTGTTGGTGATCATCTCTTGCAGCTGCTGGATAGAAAGAGATCCCATGAGTGCCGCTGCTTAGTCTGGCTCGGGCTTCGCATCATTTTTCTCCACCTGAGGATGATAGGAGCATATTTATGCGCCTTAGTTAGCTAGTTCTTATGCATTTCCATGGTGTTTTCTTAGTTAAAGTAGTCTTTTAAGCTAGTTTTATGTGTTTTCAGGTTTTAAAGCCAAAGGATGCAAGAAGATGCATTTTGGAGATTTTTGGAGCAAAATTGGGCTTGGAATGATTATCACATAATTGGAGCCAAGGTTTGGACGAATTTGAAGACTTGAAGATGATGATTCCTACTTGAACAATGTTTCCTAGTTGAAATAGGAAAGTGCTTACATGAAGGAGGATTCCTAATCGACGAAGGATTCCTAATCGATGAAGGATTCCTAATCGACGAAGGATTCCTAATCAACGAAGGATTCCTAATTGAAGATGGATTCCTAATCACATGAGGATTCCTAGAAGAACAAGGATTCCTCCTCCAACAAGGATTCCTACTTGAAGTAGGAAAGTTAAGCCAAGGTTTCCTACTTTGGTTTGATTTTCCTAATTGTCCCTAAAAGTTCCAGCAATTATGAAGACTTTCTAAGCATTATAGGACACAAAACAAAAGCCTAGAACCCTTTTGAACCCTTGCCGCACCCCCCTTTGCATTCCTCTTCCTTATTTCCTGTTTTTATGCTTTAAAACACCTTCCTTTTGTGTTTTAAACCCTAGCCGAATTTCCCTTGCCCTTTCCTTTAATTTTCTGATTTATTTCCTAATTCTAGAATCCTTAGACTTAATTTCTGATTTCCTAAGCAACCTAGGGTTTTAATTTCTGTTTTCCTTTAAATAAACCTCCTTGTTGCAACCACAAAACATTCCACACACATCCATACAACTCCATTCACGCCAGAAACCTTTCCCCTACCTTTGCCGTGCCCAACCTTCACCCAAATCCATATTTTCTGACCCCAAAACCTTCCTAGCGTGCCATACACCCATCCTAGACACTTTCCCACCATTCTCCATCATCCAAAACCCATCCAAATCATCTCCATACCTTGTGCCGCAGCAAGAAGGAAGAAGGAGTGCTCTTGAA